GAACAGAACAGAACAGAACAGAACAGAACAGAACAGAACAGAACAGAACAGAACAGAACAGAACAGAACAGAACAGAACAGAACAGAACAGAACAGAACAGAACAGAACAGAACAGAACAGAACAGAACAGAACAGAACAGAACAGAACAGAACAGAACAGAACAGAACAGAACAGAACAGAACAGAACAGAACAGAACAGAACAGAATAGATATACCTTTATTCAGCATTAACATTTATGTGCATACATGTACAGAGGTTAAATATTACTGAGCCATACTGAAAAGGCGCCCCGCTCAGCGAAAATCGTGACATGACACACACAAGTCGTCAAGTCACGAAGCTGGTTTTCAGCGGGTACCAACATGGGGGTTATTACGCCAATTAAGCGCCCTTTTGACAGTGACGGTTTATCAATATAAAATGTTATATAGCTTGGTCTCGGAAGACTTGAGGCAGATACAGCTCTCCGCACGATCTCCCCTTATCTCTCATTTTTGGCAGACTGCCTGGTGCAGTCAAATATAGTTCCAAAATACTGAACTGTCCTATCCATGACATTGACAGCGTGGCGCCACCGTCAATACCGGATCGCTTGTTCCGATTTTTGCCATGTTGGAAACCATATAGTTGAACGAAGGTAGCGCCCCCCTGTCATTGAGTTTGGTGGGACAGTTCAGCGTAGGTCATCTATCGCGGTTACGCGTCTACGCGGTTTCCCACTGCGGATTTGACTTATGATTGTCCTTAACGTCATTGAACGTGTGGACACCCCCCAAGTAAAGGCGGAACAACCGACCGAGGTGTACCTCATTTGCCTCCCAAATACTTTGCGATGAGACAACGGTGCTAGAGGAGTTTGTTATCGGAGGCAGTTGCATAGTAACAAAGGCTAGTACTTAATCTTTGTTGGACAAATTCTTAAAGATTTCTATCTTCGGCGGATTTGGAATGGTTATTATAATCGTTATACGGCAAAGTCAAAGTCAAAGCTTCTATTCTTTAAAAAATCGGTAAAAAATATAGCTTATAAATACCGAAAAATGTTTTAAAATAATTGTAATCCACACTAATTTACGCTTCTAATCAATAAATTAGAAACACTGTGTGATTAAATTTAACAAAATTACAAACTAAATATGCCTTCTCAAAAGTTACTTGAAAAGAATGTAAAATATATTTTCAAAATAAAACACACATGTTAATTATCACGGCAAAAACATAATGGCCAATATTCAATGAATTTGGTTGTATATCGCTGAGTGTTGCAAATACAGACATTCAATAAATACTTTACGAAATATGAGGGTGGTACAATTTACCCGGCGGTACTATTGTACCGAATTGTATTGTATATTTACCGAACTCTCCCCTGTTTCTTGTATTTACACAATGACCAGTAATAAGTACTAATAATATTCGAGTACCAGGTATTAAGCAATTCCAAAACATCTTCAAACACTCCATTATTATGCAGGGCAGTTATTAATTTCTGGCGAATTTCCGTAGGAATATTCAAAATTACCCCGTTTCCCGGAATGGCGATATCAAAACATCGAATGGACAATCCATTTGTTATGGATATCCAAATAATTGATATTTCTTGTTGTTCAGATAGGTCTGTAAATATTTTGATGTTGTTGTAATAATTAATATTTATTTCGAGTACCATGGGCCACACACATCGCGATAACCTGAAGAGTCAGGCTATAGCGATGCACATACGTAGATTTCAACGATTTAGGCGGCCAAAACCCAGTTTTCCAAAATCAATCTATTGAAAAATAAACCATGTACGCGGGTAGTACACACTTCCAGGAATACCATGGTACCTTTTTCAATGTTCAATGAGCGCAAATCTACCCTCTACAGTAGTCTGAATGCGATAGTTCGCTTAACGTGTGAGTATTTGTTTTCGGGCGCTCTTAAACTTACAACTTTTGTAAATTGCATTTTTATTTTCAAAACCATTGTTTTCGAGTAACAGTGGTGGATTGCGATAATTAAGGATAGAGCCTATGTTTTTCAACAGTAATTTACTTAGTTTTTGTATCCTAAATATATTTAAAAATTGTCAAAGATAGCTGTATCAGAAATGAGATTTTTTTTGTATTTTTTATTTTAAAGTGGTCGTTTAACTAACTTCAGGGTCCGTCCGAGCAATAATTTCTCTATTTTTTAATAGTTTACATATTGTTCTTAAAATCTGCAAACAATTTTGCCGCGGAAACCCGCGCTTTTTTAAATTAACAGCATTTGAAGATTTGGAGAAAAAATTGAGCAAAATATCATTTTATTGCTACTTTGTATTAAATCCATTTACTTTTTATTTTAGGCCTGTCTGGTGCCTCGGGTACTAAAACAGTTACTCGGAATTACTTATTTGACCAGATACAAAGGCAAAATTTACCAAGTTTCAGTGATAAACTTGATTTTTATGAAGATTTTCTTTTGAGTCGTTATGGAGACACAGAAAATGCTGAAAAGAGTTTGTACTTGTGTAGCCTTTGCGTACACTTCAGTGCATTTTAGCATAGACGCAAAACTTGGGCTGAGTTGCACCACCTTACGGCCGGTTCACACATGTCTCCGTTTTACTGTTCCGTTTTATCGTGTACGTTTTTTTTCGTCGATGTATGTATGTATTACTGTATACAGAATACTGTGTCATGTGTGAAGTCGCTCATACAACTACATACGCCATCGACGAAAAAAAGGTACACGATAAAACGGAACAGTAAAACGAAGATATGTGTGAACCGGCCTTGACTTTAACTTTGACCAACGTCAAAAATCTGTCAAAATCCATACAAAATCACAGGTTATGGTTATTGTCACGTTTTAAATAAGGTGGTGCAACTTAGCCTTAATGTGTGGTCCAAGGGGTACAGTTACAGTACTTATATGTACGAGGCAGTCACTAGACCGTCGTTACATCGAGGGAATTAAGCTTACCTATACTAGGGTTTTTTACTTGAGAATTTTTCTGCCCCAAAAGCCATCAATTCTACGAGCAATACGTCAACTATCCTATTCTTCTACACAAAGGTTATATCTCTGGAGTATATAATTTATCTTTACATTAACAACTTTTTCTTATTTGATCATAAAAGTATCAAAGTTTTATTGAAGAACGTAACTTATCCATACAAAATTAAAAGAAAGAACAACTATGAAATTCCATCTCCGCCCGGCCACAGCGCTGTATAAATTTAAATAAACCCAAAACAAAATGGCGTAATCCGTCTTGGATCCAGTTTGAGACTGTTTGAGACCGACATAATTTTGTCTTGGGCAGGGTTGTCCGTTTTTGTATAATTTTTAACATCCATTTACCTTTTTTGAATGCGGATTGGCCCACGTTATTTGCACACTGTCTTATTCAATCTTTTAAATTTTATGTTATTCTAAATGTATTCTTACAAAATTCATATTCCTGAAAGAGAAGTGGGAATAGTACCGAATCGATAAAACTCTTGTTTAAACTTTCCGAAAAACTACACTAAACGCTAAAATAAAATAATATGCCTAAGTCTCGGTGCTTCCGTGGGCACGTTAAGTTTTATGTCCAATTGAACACTGTCATACCTACAAATGACGCTTCATTACGTCTGACAGCAAGGTTGTAACTCAATCACAAACCACAATCTACAAGACAGATTACGTAGAGCATATTTTCCTCAAGCAAATAAACTTATGTTAAACTTGACAGCCCTAGTTACGTCATCGTACAGAACAGCTGAAAAATGAATAGGAATTAATTCCACAAAATTATAATTCCGTAAGGCTTTTGTGGATTATTTTCTTGACAGAGACTGCCACTGCATGGTGAGAGACGCACCGGTGCTTTTAGTTCAGACGACTGCTAGTAATATATTTTTATCTGTCCGTTTGTAGCAACTGTGTTCATAACTTTAGCCAGATTTGAGACTTTTCTAAAACTTTGTTGTTTTTCTAAAGCCTTGCTAGAGATTTGAAAGATTTTCTTTGACGAAGGTGAAAGATAGCTTCACCCAAAACCTTATGAACAGGGAACTGGATACCTCTGTGTACCCCAGAACTCTACAGCATAATGCTGTTTATATTGTTGTTATGGTGACAGTCATATAGATGTAGTAACCAGTGGCTCTAGACAAAGTGCACATTTTAATCGCAAACCAGTGGAAAAGCCTTTTTTTTGTATGGAGTTTTGACGGATTTGATTTTCGATTCGATCAAAAAGTGCACTTCGTCTAGACCCACAGCTATAGGTGGACTTACATTCTGAATCGAAACAATGACCTCTGGCAGTTCAGCTGGCTGGCTGATCAGTGTGTAACTTGAGTTATGAACTGTCATCGCATTACATAACGAATAAACATACAATCGAATTGAGAACCTTTTTTTCTGAAGTCTGCTAACAATCGCCAGTGCTAAAAGCACCCGTACCACACACAATCTGTCTGTCGCTCGGAGATAAGTAGGGGGTTGCGGCCCACCTGAAACGTCAACTGAGTTGACATGTGTCATTTTATGCGAAAAATAACGCGACATTTGCAGGATATTTATTTTTAATTGCTGGCAGTAACGTGGAGTTATAATGTGGCAGTTTAGTGTTGGTTAAATAAATGGTGCAGTTTTGTAACTACGAAAGTAGTCAAGAAATTGACAACACGTCTTGGAATAAGGTTTTGTGGCCAACTTTTTGACCACTTTGGGTGTCACGAACTATTTGACGTTGACTGTACAGATAGCATATGAAGCCAATAATCTGTAAAAGCTTCCTATTGTGCAATAGAAGTAAGTAGTAATATGCCGTCGACTGTACAATAAACTTTCATAGAACTTGCAAAAATACTATGTAATGTACGTGGAAATCATTTTACTGTTCCATCTTTGTGTAGTAAATTTTAGAAACCTGGATTCGATTAAAATTAAAACATTAAATTACCTTTAACATGGAACATTGCAGTCAAACATCGTAGAAGGAGTAAATTAAAGTCTTTAATAAAAAACGTACAATCAAGGCATCTTCACTTTTAATATCAGCCTTCAAAACTACACACATTCACGTCCAAACATCAATTATCTCGTCTTATGAAACTCCTGGAACTGCTTCACAGCTTTGAATATGTCATCAGAGAAGATGACCGGTTTCTCGAATGCAGCAAAGTGACCACCTTCTTCAAGAGTGGTGGTTCCTAATAGGTTCGGGTACTTCCATCTAAGTATGAATTCGGGGGTGAAGAATATCTCATGCTTCAATCTAAGGGACCATGTTGGTACGTCTGTTGGTATTCTGAAACAAAATTAGGTATAAAGTAATGAAGTTCGGTATGTAACGCTCTCACTCGTCCACGTCGGTCGCAGACAAACGTTCGCGATCGGGCCGTATCGAGCGCATAAGTAAGGCGCCCGATCAGTGGCGAACGCAACTAGAGGGTTGCCCACCGCGGTGTTGGACCAAAGTCCAGCTTACGGCGGGCTTACTCTAGTGGGATCGAGGGGACTACGGACGCGGCCTGAGGGCGCCACGGCAGGCTCGGACCACGGCTCAGGCCGTGTCCGGGGGACGGATTGGGGAAACTCTCACTGGGCACTAAAGCTTTAGGTAAACTCTTTTCTAAGTAACTTGAGTAAAAGTCTAGAAAAGATCTCTTCCTATTGAGGAGAATCTTTCTGCTTTTTATGTTTCTTGTAATTTTTGTACTTTTTCGTATGTTCTACCTTCAGTATTAGGTATTTATGCTGTTTTAGGGCTGACTTGTAATAGATTTCTGTCGTTAATAAGTGCTAATTTTGGTCAATATTGAAAAAAAGTTTTCATTTAATTTGATGCACATCAAATACCACAATATGACATACGAGTATATCTTAATAATTTTGTAATTTAAATATGTCGTTAAAAACTAATTTGATGTTTACAATAATTAGGTTTTTGTAAAGCGATTTAGTATGCCAACACTAATGAATACTTACAAATTAATAGCCGCTTCTAACTTAGAATTCACTGCCATTTCCTTATAAAGCCTCATCGACGTTGTAATCGTTCCTGGCACCCAGTACATCATGATGTTGTCCAGCAAATCCTCATTTGAGAACACACCCTCAATACCACCATCTTGTTTGTACTTCCCCTCTTTGGTTGTAGCTAGGACGAACTTTTCTAGAATGTACGCGGCGAGTCCGGCTGGAGACTCGTGGAGAGCGATACCTGCAAGAAAAACGGCAGTATTTTTAACGACTTTAAAAAAGAGGAGGTTTTTCATTCGTCTATAATAATTATGTTTCTTTATTTTTGTTATGATAGACTGCTGAACAATTTGGATAATTCAGGTAGAGATAAACCTATATGAGATGCAGGAGATTGTCTTTGACAGCAAAGATAAAACTAATATGGGATGAAACAAGGACAGAATAAAGCCAAGTCACTTAAGAAGGGTTTAGATGTTCAATTGTTACAAGAAATAAAACAAAAGGAGAAGAATATAGATATTTCCAAAGTTCTAAACGCTTGATACACGTCATACTGAAATTAATACTACACTCATGAAAGAATATACCTTAAAACACACTTACCAAGAGTATCTGGCTTAGTAGAATGCATGTGAAAATACCCAGACTCCTCCAAAAAGAACTCCACCTTATCATTTACCGGGTACAGTCTATCTGTAAATTCTTTTTCTACCAAAGATGGCCAAAGTCCACCTAAGATCCAAACTAGAACGGACAAGCTGGACTTGACATAAGGCAAGTTAGTGTGGAAGCCAATCACTTCTTTGGGGAATAAGGTGGCCATAGAAGATCCGATGATATGACCAAAATCACCTCCTTGGACGTAGAACTGGTCATGGCCAAGGCGCTTCATCAGATTTCTCAAGATGACAGCAATCTTCGTAGCTGATAAGCCTTGGCGAGTAGTTGCCTGGAAGAAATAGTTGAGAATTGAGAAAATAAAAGAACTGGACCTCCATTGCTTTACATTTGGGTGTATCATGCTAAATAATCATCATCATAAACTTATTTGTCTCCGCTGCAGAACAATCCTCTGTAACTTATCAGAAGCAAATGGAGGATTTAAATTAACATTCCTCACGCTGTCCAATCCTATTTAGACTAAGAGCTAGTGAACGCCAGACCTACGTTATTTTATAAAGGCTGAAAGTTTGACAGCGCATGCTCCCAACATAGCTAAGAACCATGGCCAAACATGAAGTTTTGGTCATGGTGGCTTTGGCAGACAGACGGTACTAAAGGTGTGTAAAATACCAACTTAGTTACGTCATAGTATAAAGGCTGATTTTTTGATATTTCCTTCAAAATGTTATTAGAAATGACGTCATTAATTGACAGACACCTACCATGGTGGCAGCCCTTACCCAGACACCTTAAAGTTCATGAAAATGTAGTCCTACTTACGTCATACTATAAAAGCTGATATTTACATAAAATATTTGAACTATCATTTGATGAAGTTTCCTCATCAGCCAGACACTTCTGATGGTTCCTTCGCCTTGCCAGACAGCTTTTAGGGTGGCTGAAAGTGCGAACGCGAGGCACTATAAATATAGTTTTTTGTACTTTTTCTTAAGTTACTCAAGTATTTGAGTCTGTAAATCATCATCTCATGTTGATGAGCTGATGATGGAAGGTAACTACAACTCCTTAAGGCTTAGGAGTTGGAGGACAATCCTTTAACCAGTATTTATATAAGTATAGTTTCTAAAGTTATTTGAGTGTTTGCATAAGCTAGTCATCATCCCATGTTGATGGAAGGTACAACTCAGTGCCTCGCGTTCGCACTTTCAGCCACCCTAAAAGCTGTCTGGCAAGGCGAAGGAACCATCAGAAGTGTCTGGCTGATGAGGAAACTTCATCAAATGATAGTTCAAATATTTTATGTAAATATCAGCTTTTATAGTATGACGTAAGTAGGACTACATTTTCATGAACTTTAAGGTGTCTGGGTAAGGGCTGCCACCATGGTAGGTGTCTGTCAATTAATGACGTCATTTCTAATAACATTTTGAAGGAAATATAAAAAAATCAGCCTTTATACTATGACGTAACTAAGTTGGTATTTTACACACCTTTAGTACCGTCTGTCTGCCAAAGCCACCATGACCCAAACTTCATGTTTGGCCATGGTTCTTAGCTATGTTGGGAGCATGCGCTGACAAACTTTCAGCCTTTATAAAATAACGTAGGTCTGGCGTTCACCAGCTCTTAGTCTAATTGGGAAATGTACGCATATTTTTTTCTGAGTCGCCTTTTAGGTCGACTAGTATACCTATTCTACTACTACACTCAAGAAAAAACATGATAACTACATGCAATTATTTGGTTACATACATCTGAGAAACCAAATCCTGGAAGACTTGGAGCGATGACTTCGAAGACAAAATCACACCCGGGTCTGACGGTCGTCAGAAGTGGAAACGCGTTGTAGAACTCACGCACTGATCCAGGCCATCCATGAAGAAGTAGTAGAGGTAAGACCTTGAAGATAACAATTTAAATAGTAATATACATTCTTGGCAGAGTAGAATACATTTGTCACCAACCCCTACTCTTCCCGCGGGTGTCGTAAGAGGCGACTTAGGGACTACACATCAAACAGAGAATGGGCAGCAGCGCTCTCTGAAAAAACATCAAGCTTTTAAACTGCGATCTCCAACCCGCCTGCCAAGCGTGGAGATTATGGCAAAACCCTCCACTATAGTGGAGGAGGCTCATAGTCCAGTAGTGGACTGTAAAGGGCTGTTGATGATGATACATTCTTGGAATAGTGATAGGACAAGCTATAATATTGGTAAGTGTATAAGTGCCCTGAAAATGGTCTACATGCTAACAAAGAATTAGAATTTGAATAGGTATAACAATGTCAGCAAGAGTCATGTTTGTTAATACATACTTGATTGAAAGGGCAATTCATGTTGGCTGTCCATATTTTATGCCTTCAAAAACTGTCTTCAGAAATCTACACAACCTCATTAAATACATCAAATCATAACATAATTGTTACAAAATACCACTTACTTATGATAGCTTGCCTGTACACTACTTAAGTCTATATTCAAACAAGAATTTCATACCATACCTTCACATTCTTCTCCACTTTCGGCTTCACATGCATGAAGTGTATATCCAGGCCTTGGATATTCGTCTTGAAATGGTCGAACTTGTTCAAGAACCTCTCTCTCTCAATGAACTTGTATCTGAAGACCCAATCGGCGAAGAAGGCTGCGAAAGCTTCAGAGTTGACTCCATACGTCCAACCAGCGTCAGTGAAGGTTTTTGGCTTGACGAACTTCCGGTACTCTTCCATTCTGTATTGAAGGTCTACTATCATCTGCAATAGTAGTTAATGATTGAGCTATTTTATAGAGATATCTTTCTATGAAATTTCCTATCTCGTGTAAACGTGACTTATCCCACCACACTTTCCCACCACTGCAACTCCTGTATAGCCAAATGACGGCCACTGCTGGTCAAAGGCTTCTCCAAGGATTTACACACTGACTGGTCCTGCGCCAGATGTATGCAAGAATTTCTGACATTTTTTTCTTTAATGATCATCATCTTATCATAATCTCAGCCATAGGACGTCCACGGCTGAACAAAGGCCTCCCCCAAAGCTTTCCATGTTGCCCGGTTGGTAGCGGCCTGCGTCCAGCGCCTTAATGCTACCTTTATGATGATGATTCTATAATGATATTAAAATGTATTCACACAACATAATCTATCCTGGCTTATCAAGTTTGATACCACTACACTTTGGAATTTATTAAGCTTGTCCAATACTACATTCCAGTTGTATCAGTGATTTTCAGACAAAATACTAAATCTACTCGTGTTGCTGACAAAGCGAGGTTAATTAACCCTCATTCTGATCGGCTGTGGCTGCAGCGCTTAATGAGCGGTCAGGCTGGGAACAGGCGAAAAAAGTTTAGACAGGTAGGTATTACATAAACCTAGCTATATAAAATGCAATAGGTATGTAATAGCTTTACTCTGAAGAGAAAAACGTAGTATGATTGTATGGTACACGGTATTGTTTGAGCTCAAGCCAAGTCAGGGTCAAGGTCATCCTATCCTTCTTCTTCTTGTTGTCGCGTCGAGAACATACCTACACAATGTCAGCCCAAAACTCCGCCACAAGAGTGACGTTGTCAGAGCCTTCATTAAATCTTCCTGCGTGCAGTTTTTTGGGCACGCAGGGCACGACATCATATTGTCATCATATCCTTTTCTAAGCATATGTTTATAGGCTGATAGAAATGTTAAAGTTTGTAAACAAATACTCACAGCTTCAGAGAACACAATCCTGTACGGTATCACAGCAGTGCTGATGGAGTCTGACTGCGACTCGTTGGGGCCCCACCACTCATTGTAGTCAAGCTGTGGTAGCTCAGGCACTGCGGTCATGTTCTTGTACATTATGTACAGTAGCGCTGCGGTGATTAGGGCCAAGATTGAAGATATTTGGAGTGCGCACTGGGAATAAATAAAACAGGTGATAAAATATAAGAGGAAAACAGCCGAAATTCAACTTGGTCTATAATTAAGTACTCTTATAGGAATAAATGTGGCATTTGAGACCGTTTGTTCATAGTTTGAGGTTGATAGTATGTACTTATATTAGGTCAGGCTTCTACTAGCACTTGCCCCTCGTTGTGTGTCACATAATATGTAATGGCATAGAAAAGCATTAAAATTATGTAGGTAGTTCTGTATCATTAAGAGTAAGTATTATGAAATGATTCATCATTTTATAAACTAACTAGCGGCCGCCCG